AATCCCGAGGATGAGCTGCTTCCAAAGGCACGTGGGGCTTGGCTTTGCCCTCCACGATTCCCAGCATTGCTGGAGCAGCAGGAACTTTGGGAAAACGCAGCAGAGGGACAAAGCTGAACCTCTCCAAACCCTCCTTTCCCCCTTTTTTCCCTGCTGGTGAAGGACCCCAGAGCCAGGTTTGTTTCCCCCCTGGCCCTCGGGGTGCTGAGCCGGCGCTTCCCGTCCCGCTGCAGGTTCCTCTCCATCCCCAGGATGTCCTCAGGAGCTCTGCTGAGCAGCGGCTGCTCGTCCCCCTGCGAGGTGACCTGCCCCGAGCCCTACGTGGACGCCTGGAGCCAGCCCTGTGTCACCTCCTGCGGGGACTCCCGGGCCGTGGTCTACCCCCCTCCCGTGGTGCTGACCTTCCCAGGGCCCATCCTGAGCTCCTGCCCCCAGGAGAGCATCGTGGGCACCACCCTGCCCCAGCCCATCGGGGGCAGCTCGGGGGGCTCCTACGGAGGAGGGAGTTCCATGGGGGGAATGGGGGGAATGGGGGGCTCCTATGGGGGCAGCTCCATGGGGGGAATGGGGGGAATGGGAGGAATGGGAGGCTCCTATGGGGGCAGTTCCATGGGGGGAATGGGGGGAATGGGTGGATCCTATGGGGGCAGCTCCATGGGGGGCACATATGGGGGCAGTTCCATGGGTGGCTCCTATGGGGGCAGCTCCATGGGGGGGGGAATGGGTGGCTCCTATGGAGGGGGCAGCTCCATGGGGGGCTTCGGGGGCTCCTCTGGAGGGGGTAGATCCTTTGGGGGCTCCTATGGATCCAGGAGGTCCTTTGGGGGCTCCTATGGGGGCAGGAGGTCCTTTGGCTCCTGCTCCTCCGGGGGGGGTTCCTATGGAGGGGGCAGCTGCTATGGGGGGGGCAGCTCCTACGGGGGTTCCAGGAGGTTTGGGGGAGGAAACTGTGGCTCCTTTTGGTTCTGAGGAGCCCCCCCTGTGCCCCTGAGCAGCCCTGGGCTGTGCTGAGCTCCCGGGGCTGTGCTGGGATGGACTTTGCTGGTCCCCGTGGAGCTGCAGCACTTCCCAGCTCCCTGGGCCCCC